ATATAATTCTTTTAATTATATATTATTATATTATTTCTAACTATATTAATTTCTATCCTTTAGATAGTCAAGAAAATAAGTAAGAAAATATTAAAATTTAGAGACTCTTTCAATTTAAAATAAAAACAATTGCTCTTTGGGACACATGTTTCAGCGTCTACAGAATTAAATTTTCAAGGTATATTTTCGAGATGTATATCCAACTTTCCCGCATAATATCCAGAATGACAACAAATGCTACATAGATACTTTATGCTCTTCTCGCCTGTTGCCGGCTGCGTGAAAGAAGTTAATAATTTATTATATTGTGTTGTAAAACAGATTTACATTGCAAGTTTCGTTTAACGAGAAAAGTGAAAAAGAAAATTGCATCCGGAGAATAATTTTCAACCGGTTCCATTAGGCGTAATAACTCACGATATGTCGCTAAAGGAAAGTGACAAAAGCATATTATAATTTCATATTAAATAAATTTTATATTAATTGCATATTAAGGTTCTCTAAATTAGCTTTATAATATAATAATAATATAGTTTAAAGAGTTATTAGCTTTCATAAATTGTACAAGTGCTGCATAAATAAGCATATATGTATTTCTATTACATTCATGTTTCTTTACTTTAAAATAAATAATCAATATAGAAAACTTATATTTATATAGTTGTAAAATAAAAATTTCTTATGTATACATGTGTGTGTACATCGACGTACATAAATGTATAATTTGAAGAAATGCTTACATTTCAATAATAAATAATTATAAATGCTCTTAAATACATTGCAATGTTGACTTTGATATGAATATAATTTTTTTTTTTATGATAAGCAATTTATATTTAAAGTACTATCACACGTGTCTTCTTGTTCTTACATCAAAAGCATTAGTTTTTATAAAAATATAATTTGATCTTTAATACATTATATAACATAAAAAGTGTGTTTATAAACGCAAATTGAGTTATAATACGTTTCAGAATTTGTTGCACGATTACATTAAATTTCTCATAGAAGACAAATATCAAAGAAATGTCAAAGTTACAAGTTTCAAATTATAAAGCTATTATTATCAGGAACCAAATCAGAGAGCATAATAATGTACGCGACCTAGTTACCGCTTCACTCTTGTACCCTTTTATTTTTTATTTTTTATAAAAGCAATCCTTTTATTTGATCCAATATCCGCGGAACATATAAGCTGTACTTTGGAACACACCTATCGCTTTGTATACTGCAATCTATATCGCAACCTAGTCGAGAAATCTCATTAAAAAGGTAGATAGCATTCCTCGTACTTATCCTTCATAGGAGAGAAAAAAAGGACAAAGATCTCGCGGTGAAACGACGCCGCACGCGGTTTTATTTATGAATGTCCGTTACGAGTCTTTCATGCGCCATTCCCTCTCCTCTCTACTCCCAGCAACCACCCTCTTTTCCGTCCTCATCGCGGAAGCTGTCAACGCGTCTCATCGTCCAAGTGCTACCGACAATGTGCTCGACGCTTACCAACTACGCTCGTAACATAAAGAGGACGAGAATGGGGAGAGAAAGAAAGAGAAAAAAAGAAAGCGGGAGAGGTAGAATGAAAGAGCGAGAAAAGGAAACAAAAAAAAGAACTTGTTACGCCGAAGTCGTAATACACTCGACGTCGTTTTAGAGCGTGCACGTCCACCTCGCATAGCGCTTCTCCTCGGCCCGTAGGCGATATGTGTCGCGTACAGTTGCGAGAACCACGTGCTTCATGTGTACCGGACAGGCAGAGACGGTCGAGGAACGGCGTACGGATAAAAGGAAGAACGATTTCAGGGAGAGCGGCTCGAGGACGAGGAACGCGAGGGCGAAAAAACGGCGGTTACGTCCGCCGCGAGGAGGAAGAAACGGAAAAGAAGGTGCCGGAGCGCGGGCGAAGAAAACGCGAACGACGGCGGGAGGGCAAGGGCGGTTGTAAATTGTGTGCGCAAGACGGGGGTGCGAAATCTCTCGGGGGTTGATAGAGAAGATGTGCAACGCGCGCACGCGTCTATCTATATGCATACATGTACACTCTGTTTCGTCTTTTTTTTCTCTCCTCGAAAGCATACCGGGTGGTATGGTATCGGTCTATTACGTACGCATGACGAGCTCCATGAGCACACGCGTAATGGAAACACGTCGTCCTCCTTTATCCCGCGCGCGCGGTCGCAGAGTTGTCATCGCGGCAATTACTCAAGTTCGTATGCAGGACCGAAATGCAACCGGCGAGCGCGGCCAGCATTGCGGTACAACACGTTTCGCTTTTACGAATGATTCGTTTCGCTGTAACAATGTAATTGCACGTTGCCGTAATGATGCGGCCGCGCGCGTTTGAATAAACCTACCACGGATTTCTCTCGTTTTCCGCTGCATTTCCCCTCCTCTCGCGTGTCTCCCCGCATCCCGCAAAACAACACTTCCATGTCCCTTTTTTCGTTTCGCGCACTGTGTTCTGTGCTTTAGATGCGGCCACCCCCTCCTCCCTCATCGTCTGCTGGTTGAAAACGGTGGAGAGGAAATCAGAACTCGGCGGCGACTCTTTATTTTCGTTTACGTCAGTCGCTCTTGCACAAGACGATACTTGTGTATACCTACCTACCTACCTACCCTTTTTATTCGTACTTTTTCCTTAACATCTCTCCCACTCTCTCCTTCGCAACCACTCGTTGCACCACCTTCCCGCAATACTCGCTTCATCCCTTAGTTGTATATCTACAGTACGAAAGGAGTATCCGAGCGTGCAGTTCTTTAATTTCGCGAGATATCTTCTCGTGGGCCGAGCGCTTTCGCGACTCGGATTCGCGGTGAAAAATGACTCGGGCAAGTTTCCCCTCGAGAGTATATCGTGTCCTAACCCGCCGGACTATCGCTCATCCTTTCTACTTCGATTTCTCTTCCGTTTGCGTGCGCTCGCGTAATCGTCGTCGGCCGTAAACGAGAATGTTGATACGATGAGTTTAAGTACTTTGAAACGAGAATAATGCCGACGAGATTTCGATATGTTTAAAAAAAGGTTCCTTTTAATTAAATATCTTTTCATACGATATTTTAAGGTAATTTGTACACACATCCGATACTTTGGAATTGTAAAAAAAAAAAAAAAAAATTCATTTTAAACAGATAAAGCATATCGAAATCTTGGTAATGCCGCTTCCAGTATACAGGATATATTAAAATCGTAAATTAACGAAATCAGTATCCATTATTATTAATATTGCGCTTCCTATAACGATAATAGTACATTGATAGAATTATATTTGTTTTGCCTAATTGAAACATACAAAGTTGTGTCAATTGCTAGCACCAAGTGCTTTTGAATAATTAGGTTACAATGCACATTGTGCTAATATGTGCTCGCATTATGCTAATACTATTCAATATTACAATTACATGTGTTGTTTCAAGAATGTTAGCTTTTTACACGAATATTATTTAAAATTACGATATTGCTTTCTAAATACAAATTAATTTTATTTATTGGCATTATTATTGCAATAGTTTATACAATGAAAAAATAATAATATCAAGTGCACAAACAGAAAGACAGATAGTTGCATAAGCATGTAGTACTGTAATGTTACAAAACACGACACGACGTGAAATTAAAACTACGTCACGAGTTGTTATTGCGAGCGGTTCTCTTATGCGATATCGCCTGACTATCATCTAAAGAGATAGTCTTTACACGCACGGTATTGCGCGATATAAATAAGAAAATAATGTTTTTTCGTCAACATGTATTGCACCTACACAACACACGTAAATTACTGGCAGCTTAAGACCGATGGCTTACGAAGAAAAATGTAGAGACAGTGATTCGTATTTACCCAACTATACACAGTTCTTGAAGGTTTCTCAAATATTTTAACAAGATACGAACGCGCGACCAAGCAATTTTGCGGTATAATACATCGTCTGAAAGAGCGAAACTGTATGCTTCTTGCATTAGAATCTCGGCAATAACATGTGAAATTTTCAATGCAACTTAATAATCGAGTAACATGCTCTCATATAATCGAATAACATTAAATAATTAAAGAGTCAATATGTAATCACATATTTATCTACGGAAAAGTAAAGAGACATAGAAAGAGAAAGAAAGAGATAATAAATAAACAAAAAAAAGTTATGATTATAATTTATATCATATATTCAAAAAATACTTAT